TATTACCCTGCATCTGGAGGATCAGCCTACTTTTTCAAGCCTCGGATCTTTCAGAACTCTTACAACTGCAAAGACCTTTCCACTAGACCTGCGATTTAAGTAATTTCTCTGGCGGGAAAAAAAAAAAAACACTGAAGGTTCCTGTGCCCCACCTGAGAGTGTCAGGAATTTCCCCTTTGAGAGGGTATTTGTAAATCGGTGGTCTGTGCTCACCCTAACAGAAATACCACTAAACTGTTTGAAAGTGTGCTCACCTTTCAGGATTCCACTGACAGGCAGAGTCCACTCTTAATTAGCCCAACTGGTCCACTGTGTTTGGCAGTACCCTTAATCTGTCAAACTATGTCAGAATGTGTAGATTCCACCAAGAGGAATCCCTCTACTGCAGAGGTGGGTCCCTGTTTTATAGTGTGGTTGGAGAAAATGTTTGGCGTTTTGTGCTTTTAGCTGTTATAGTCCCATGCAAAATACAAAAGATGGCACAAAAGCTGATGCCGTACAGATGTGTAGAGCACTTTAGCTAAGTGTCAGGGGTGTGATACTATATCCAAGTAGTATCTGACCTTGTTAACCTCTTGAGGGGCATCGTCTTTTGGCCTGCTCTTTACACTCTGATAAGCAGGAGTGGCCTGAGTGTGCTCCTATCTCAACACAAGTATATAAGAAAAGTGATCCTGAGGTATATCTAATAGATGCCAACATCCTTAAAATGCAGATTTATATAGGAGAAAACAACCCGCCTAGATTGTTGAGTCCCATCTAGGGGGGGGTTGTTTCCTCCTATATAAATCTGTCTCAACACAAGAGGTCTGTTGGGACATCGGAGAAATACCACCCCTCTCCCTCATCTACTTTGGCAGTAGATACTCATAGGCCTTCAGAAACCACTCAGCGCATCGGGCTCAAAGTCAGGACACTTGAACCACCTTCCCTGAAGAGGGTCAGCTTTTTGGACCCTTGTAGTTAGAACCCTTCTGAAAAGCCTAACACAAGCATCAACTGGATAATCACTAGCAGATGCCTATTGTTGGTAACCATTGGCCATCGACGTATGAGGATGTTTGTCCTAAACTGTTAGGGGTCCGTAGGTCATTAAGGGTGACAGCCTTTTAAAGTAAAGCTCCATTTTCCCCCCACTCCCAAAAAAAAAAAAATTAAGTCAGTAGCTTTAAATATTGTAGCTACTGACCTTTAATATAAGGACACTTACCTGTCCAGGGCTCCACTGACGTCCTCACCCAAGCCGATTCTTCAGTCAGCTTTGGGTGCAGGAACTGGCATCTTTGGTAGGAGAAACCAGCAATGAAGCATTCTGGCTTCACAGCCGATTTCCTACTTTGTATGCGCCAGCTGCACTGCGCTGCGACTGGTCCTGCAGTCTTCTGGGACCAGTGTGTTTCCCAGAAGGCTGCGGGGGGAAAAGTGGAGGGGCCGAAAGATCGCCGCTGCGATCTTACCTGGAAGTGGGAGCAGGTATCTGTTAAAACCCGGTACCTACTCCCCCCCCCCCCCCCCCCCCCCCCCCAAAAAAAAAAAGTGCCAGATGTGTCAGTGGAGGGGAGGAGGCAAACGAGCAGAACTTCTCCTTTTGGGTGAAGTTCCATTTTTAACATGGTCTTCTGTTCTGTCGTTGGCTTTCTGTCCTTTTCAACCTTCCTTTCTTAGGTGAGGGGCCTGAGCTTAGGGTGAGATGGTCATTATGGACTAGGAAGTCTCTGGCTTCCTTCATCAGTCCCTTCAGGTGAATAGGGTGGTCTGTGTCCCCTGTCCTGAGGGGACCTCACTTGCTGGGGTCTCCCTATACCTAGGGTTTTAGTCTGGTTCCCTAAAACAGAGAGTCCCCTTCTCATCAGAGAATCTCCATGGGGAGTCAGTTTCCTGAGTTGGACTCCGATTGACATCACCTAGGTGTTGCAGGACCTTCACCCACCAGAAAGTTTGGCAATCCTTCATCGGACAGTTCGAGTGGCCTTGTCCCTTTTCTTGATGACACAGAGTTCTATTCTCAACTGTAGTGGCTTCCTTGGAATCAAGGCATTGACATCTGCCTCTTCTCAACCGATGGTCTCCACATGGAAGGTTTGTGCATCTGGGTGCTCCTAATATCCTGCATGGTAGGCAGGAGTCATCACTGGAGGGCTTAGTGCATGCCATGTTTACCCTCAGGCTGGATATGCTGGATTCCTGTTGAAGGTACCTCCTGTTGGGGATAGAGTATATCCAGAGTCCTTCCTGGGACCTGATTATTTGAAGATTGGTCCTACTTCTGTGACTGTTTCGACTTCTGCTAAGCAGGGATGCCCATGCACTGATTGAAATTTAGGTGGTACCAAAAATGACTTTCAATCTGTGTCTGTCCAATTTGAGAAGAGACTTATCCTGTCACTTTGGAGACATCTCTTTTTACTTTGCTCTGTGTCTCTGGGACAGGAGGTGAAGAAAAATCTCCTTGACATGAGAAATATCTGACAGAAGCCTTAACCATACCCTACACTATCCAAAACTAATAAAACAAAAATTGAGGGAAGAATAATGGGGACTTCTTATCTGCTTGGTTCCCACCTTGTACAAAAAAACCCCCTAACTATTCTATGAAGCTAAGGGTTCCCCAGAGCTTATGAGTGCACCAGGAGGAAGGACTTTTTCCATTGTGGCAATAACAAGAGGTAGCTGAAGTAACAAATGCCTGTCTTGCCTTGACAGGGTTCCCATACACATGGTCACTACATCCTCTTTTTATACGGTCCATACATGTAACAAAAAGTGAATGAATGATAATAGATTTGATTGTTTTCAAACAAAAGATCATATAAAACAATCATTCAAAAGCAAGGAAAGGTTCAGTTTGTTCTAATTTTTTTTGATTGCCTGGGAGATATAGGTTTTCGTACCTTGAACCTTTGTAGCGCTCAGTAAAAGCTGTACTTGGATGGTTTAACTGTATCTAAAACCAAAAACTGATATAATGCAGCTTACTAGCCCTTAAACGAATAATAAAGGTTAGTTTTTTATTGTTTTTAATAAAACAAACCTGTTGTACTTACCTGTTCTCAGCAATGGTTTTGCACAGGCCAGCCACGATCCTCCTCTTCTCTGGTCCCTTGCTGGCGCTCCTGCCCCCCTGCTGAGTGCCCCCATAGCAAACCGCTTGTTATGGGGGGCATCCGCGCTTGCTTGCTCACTCCCGAGTCTGTGTCCCTCGTCACTGGCTCTGACAGCAGCGGGAGTCAATGGTTACTGCTGATGTAGAGTGAGAGAGTCGAGAGAGCTTCGGCTCTCGTGCATATCGCTGGATCGATGTCAGCCTCAGTATTTAGGGAAGCTGTGGGGGAAGCTGCATGCAGAAGGTTTTTTGCCTGTAGTAAGGAAAAAACCATTCTGCCTTTGCAACCACTTTAAATTCTGTGGCTGCATTTGTTTTCTTCCCTTCCTTTCCTTTTTTTTTTTTTTTTTTTTTTTTTTTAAGACTTTTCCCCATTTATTTTCACCTGGAAATCCCTCAAATAACGCACATCCTGTACCTTTTGTGTCTCTAAACTTGCTTTTCCACTGTATCCCTGGAGGCAGGCACGGTTGTCACACAGGCTGAACTTCAAACATGTCTGCCTTTTTCATATCTATTACATGGTAGTTTATGGGATTAGTAGTTTACACAATACATTGTAAGACGGCTGCCTGAGCTCTCTCCACTTATTACTGCAGTTATACAGTTCCTTTCTCTTGGCTAGAAGCCAAAGTACAATTAATTTCAAGTAGCAAAGATAAATAATATGTTTTAGTAACGACCAAGACCCCTGCCCCCCCAACTACTGGGATCAAACCATGTGCTCAGTAGGGAACTTCTGTGCTGCCCCTTACGGTGTATTTGTTGCAAATTTCCTTTGTCCTCTTTTTTTCAGTGGATTGATCCACTGGCCACTGAATCACCGAATGCAACAGGGGACTAAATATGACACTTCTGGAATCGTAAGCTCTATATTTTGCAAATGGCAACACGTGCAGGGGGATGAATATTAAGGGCTCGTTCACACCAGACAGCTGAGATGATCACACAATTGCTGGCATACATTGACTGAAACCATATGCATTTTTTTTTTTTTTTTTTCACTGACAAATTCATGCTGTGATGTCAACTGGTACATTATTAAATATTGCCCTGGAACTATGCTGGGCAAGGCTACCTAGCGCAGACCCGGTGAACCTGGTGTGAATGGGTTTTAGACATTTATTTTAATGACACCATTCCTTTTAATTAACCCTGCAACCCTTTTTAATTAACCCTGTGCTATTTAGGCAAAATAGCTAACACTGCATTTTTCAGGGTTTATATGTGCATATAATCTTATGGGAAGACTTTTGCTGAAATTAATGGTCTGGTGACAGGGTCTCTAAGTGCCATTAGAAAACTATGAAAAAGAATTGGGAGGAAAATAGTCTTGTGTTTTTTTTTTTTTTTTTTCTCTCTCCATCAAATCCTCATGTATTAATTTGTTTTAAAGTAACACTTTTTTTTCTTAGGTCCCATGCACCACTGGGTGTTTAGTCTCGGTACATGGAGCTTTGGTGTTTAGCAGCCTGTCAAATTCTCAGAGGCTGAAAGCTGCTGTAGCCAGATAATATGTGACAGATAACCCTGCAGTACTTCTGTTTAGGGTAGTATGCATCCAAGGAGGAATGCTTGAAAACCCTGGATGCGTGCTGCCCCAAGTGGATGTATTGTGCACCCTTGAGCTTAACAGGTTGCCAGCAGTGGTGCTGGACATCATACCTTTACCCTCTGCCTGTGACTTAATGTTGGAGCCCCATGCATCTGGGCTAAACGTCCAGTGTGCATAAGGCCGTATGTGTTGTGCATGTAGGCCTGGCTCATCCATCTTACCAATTTTACAAATGTATTCTAAACTGAATTTTACACTGCCTGCAGACTTACTTTTGAGATTCTCCGGTGTTTTAGCATTTATTGATGCACCTCCAAATTTTTTTTTTTTTTTTTTTTTCAGCTCGTGTTCCAAAGAAAATCTTGAAGTGTAAATCTGTGTCCAGAGAGATAAATTTTGCATCTGAAGAAGAGATGGAGAATTTCAGACTAGAACAGAAGGTTTACTTTAAAGGACAATGTTTAGAAGGTAGGACTGCACGAAGTGAAGTTCATGCTGTTCTTAAAAATGTTTATCTTTATGAAGAAAGTCAGCAAGGGCTCACATTTTACACATGGATATGAAAAAAAAAAACAAAACATTTGAAAAAAGGAACAGTTTATTTTCCTTTCTGATATACAGCAGCAAATAAAAATGCCATGACAATATTAAAACCCTTGATATTAACTCTTTTTGGAAAGTAGACACTTCAGGGTGGTCATATTTATTTATTTTTTCTACAATTTTTTGGAAATGAAGAAACATGTCAGTACTGTGGAGGTTAAAACATGGAGCTTGGTAATGATCCACTAGGTACATTAAATGTACATGTAATACACAGAGGGATCAGGAGGTGAGGGTTAATATACAGGTCCGACTAGAGACAGGATGGACTGTAGAGGGGTGAATGACATTAAGTGGGGTGGATTTTATTATTATTGGAACCATACTATGTTGCACTAGTGCAGGCTGGTGGTCAGCAAATGGATCTATCCAGTCACTGGCTAGTAAGTGACACATAGCTGTAGGCTGTGTTTACATTCTGTAATGCTGTGATTGATCACAGCAGTCACATGGTACTGAGCCTCTCCCATTGACTCTATACGGTTTGCCTGTGATCTGCTGTGTTCAATCACAGCAAAACCACAGGCACGCAGTTCAATTCTTGGAACAATAGGGGAGCAGATCAGCCTCTATACATTTCAAACATAAACATCATTCAGTACAGGACACAGTACCATTAATCAAGACCATGGATTATATGCTGCCACCTTCAGGTGAGGACACCAGCAGATAAAGCTTTTAGACAGCCCATTGAACTTCTAAGGTGATGGATGATCTCTCTCTCTACTAAGAGCAGGTTTCTGTCTTATAATTCTGATTTCTACCTGGAAGATTGGGAAGACTAAACACTGTTCTTTCACCTTCTAGCTCAGGGGTGGGCAAACTTTTTGACTTGAGGGCCGCAATGGGTTCATATATTGGACCCGGGGGCCGGACCAAGAGTAGATGAATGATGTGTATGTGTCATCCATAGTAAGTATAGTAATATTCCCCCATAGTAAGCATAGTAATTAATCCCCCATATAGTAATTCATCCCCCATATAGTAATTCATCCCCCATATAGTAAGTAATTTATCCCCCATATAGTAATTTATCCCCCATATAGTAATTTATCCCCCATATAGTAATTTATTCCCCATATTCATCCCCCCTATAGTAATTCATTCCCCATATTATTTTATCCCCCACAGTACTATTCCCCCCCAAGTAGTAAGCCAAGTCCCCCCTGTGTCAATTCACTTACCTTTGCTCCGCGCGTTCCTCTCGCCGTGTTCCCGCGCCGTTCCTCTCGCCGTGTTCCCGCGCCGCTCCGGTCTTCAGGGCGGACTGTGAGAGGAGCCTAGCTCCTCTCACGTTCCTCACGCTGCCCCGCCTACACACATTCTGACAGCCGATGTTTGCCACGCTCCGTGGGCTGGATTAAAAGGTCCGCCGGGCCGTATACGGCCCAGGGGCCATAGTTTGCCCATTGCTGTTCTAGCTGCATCCCCTGCAATGCATTCAGACTTGCAGTGACCTGCTCTGTGTGCACAGTCCTGCCCTTGTAGATGGTTCCTCAGGCTACATCTTGAGTAAATGCTTTCTTACAGATGGGACACATTTCAGCTCCACCGTTCCCCTGCTACAAATTCTGGCCCAGGTCTCTGCATCAGTTGTCACCGGGTTATCCAGCATCCTTCAGTCATGAGACACAGGATGGCTGCACCCCATCTGCTCTACAGCAACAGGTTGTGAGTACCCCTCAGGATTACCTCACCCTCATGATGGATGTTAGGCACAACAAATATGGGATGAGGGGTGGGCCAGCACTTACTGTGCATAGTACCATGATGAGATTCAGAGTTCCCATGAAAACTCTGCTTCAAGTACTTTGGACCTTAGGTCCCTTTCACATGGGGCAGATTTGGTCATAATTAGCAGCTAATCTTTGCGCTAATCCCCTGCAGATCGGAGCATAGTGTGTTCACTCAGTGCACAGTGGACATGGGCAGACCCTGCTCTGCTGTATAGGCAGCTGGGAGTAAATAGACCTCTGACCCGCTCCGCCTAAACAAGAGGATGATCAGAAACTGACCGAATCGGAGCACCTGTCTGAAAGGGACCTAAGCCTTCAATACCTCGTTTGATACCCATCATTCCTTTTGTTAACTAGAGAGGAATATTCTGCCTCTATGGCAGACCTACTGAGGAAAGTCTCTACACCAATACAGACCGCGTCAGAGCAGGTTTCCCCTGCTGAGTCTTCTGACTCGCTCAGTGTGGCAAGTGGAAGGTGATTCCTCAGAGTCTGAGCACTCATCCAGGAGGGTAGGCAGTTGCTTTTGATCTCTCGCAAGCTAAAAGAAACCATTAAGGTTTTGGAGGACAGAGTACGTACTTTTATGATGTTAGAACTGTCTCCACCTTCTGGACTTATGGTCACTGTGCCGGACCGCCTGGCACCCCGCCTAGGTTTTTCAGTCAGAGAGCTGCTTCCTCGCCACTGGAACACAGAAACAAGGGATTATATATCTCTGCATTGCACCTGAGAACTAGCCGACACTAGCTTAGGTGCAAACAGGAATTCACTTTAATGATAATTCACAAAGAATTTATACCACACAAAATGAGTTGAGAGCTTGGTCACATTATCCTAAACAATTCAAACTTTAAATGGAAATATCATCATTATGTCTAATGAACAGCTAGAAGCTAACTGTAACCTAATGTAGACAGTGATCTAATTAACAGTAAGCTAATCAACAGCCAGGCACCCAGACAGGTTTTGATTAGTCAGGGAGCCCACTCCAGACAGTCTGGCAACGAGCCCCACAGCTCTGGATGCACAAAGTACATGACACATTCTGTCTTTTAGGTGTTTGGCTTTCACTTGTGTAATCTAATAACTAGAAAGGTCATCACAAGACATCTCATACAAAGTTGCAGCAATCTGAAAGTGTGGAATTAATTTCTGTTCATAGATTTCCTGAGGGAGATTGTTGATAAAAATTTCTGTCCCAAGTGGAGGAGATTTCTCAAACCCAGTCTGCAGGAGGGCCACCATATATTTTTTTTTTTTTTACCACTAAATTAATATTACACCATTCCATCCACTCCAGAAGGGAAGCCTTATTGTCTTTATTTGGAGAATTAATCCAAGCCTCGCTCTCCTTGTTCATCATGTTGTTGTCCATCATTAGAGAATGTTCTGCGCTCTACACGGGATCCGAGGCTGAACTGAGTTATTTTTTTCCATGTTCTGACTGGGAGAAGCAGACAATCCCCGGCCTCCTCCATGGGCCATAATCGGTGGGTAGAAGGCTAGCCCCTAGTCCCCTCCAAAAGCCTGTGTTCCGATTTGGCTCTGTCACAGTCACCAGTATGGTATCTCTTCCCAAATCTAAGGAACCTTTCCAATTCCCTCAGTAATACAGGATGCTATGTACAAAGAAAAGCTGCGTCCAGACAAATTACACACTCCCCCCAAGAGCAAAGTCCATAGACACTTTTTATTAGGGAAGTCAGGAAGAGCACACGCTTACCTATCAAGAAAAAAAGCTAAATTGCCCGTGGCAAAATCGTCTGCTTCTGGAATTTGTAAGAATTTCCTTTTTGTCTTTACTAGAACTCTGCTTCTAAAGCCGAGTCCTCTACTCCGTTTCATTGCAAGTTCTGGACATAGAAGGCAGCAAAGTCTGACATCAAGTCCTCCTCACAATGAAGGGGCACCCCCAGTCCTACTAATGGTGAATGGCCTTGGACTCTAGCCATTTTGGATCCTTGGGCCCAGGGTGTAGTGTCCCAGCGATGCAGGCTTGAATTTCAATGTCTGCTTTATGCCCTCAAACCTCCCCACTTCCCTGACAATATTGCAGGACCTTCAGACTGCTTTGCAGTAACTCACTCTTTAGGAGTGATTGTTCCAGTTCCCTTGAGTAACAATTGCAGGGTTTCTATTCAAACCTGTTTACAATCCCATCCTAGACCTGAAGATTCTCAACGCCTTCTTGCGGATCCAAAACTTCTGGATGGAATCAGCCAGGTTTGTAATTCCATTGCTGCAGCAAGGGAAATTTCTAGCATCAATAGACATCAAGAATGTGTATTTATATGTTTTTTCATATTTCCCTTGCTTTAGAGGTTCCAATTTGTGGTGGGGATCAGCTCCTCCAACATTATGAAGGTATTTCCCAGATCCTAGCACTGTTGCACTTTTAGAGAATCCACATGATCAGATATATGGACGATCTGCTTTTGAAGGCGCTTTCTGCTCACACCCATGCCAATGTCCAGCAGAAGATGCAGACACTTAGGAGCTTTGGGTGGATCTTCAATACCCAGAAGTCTGCATTGGATCCAATGCACTACTAGAGTACTTGGTCCTAGTCTTGAACATGACACAGGCTAGAGTGTTTTTCCCCAGTAATGGCTTTTGACTCTCCATGTTTATGTCTCTTGGCTTCAAGAAGCTTCCTTTAGTCCAATTTTGCATGAGATTGCTGGGCCTTATGGTGGCCTCCTTTTTGAGGAAGTGATATTTGCCCAGTCCTATCCCAGGGTCTGCAACTTTTAATGTACTAACTGCATTGGACAAATACCCTCGGTCTCTGGATTGGCTCATTTGCCCCTCTCCCAAGACCTTGGTGGCTGCCCAGCCCTGTGCTGGAATAGGGAAAGTGTCTTCTCCCTTTTAACATGGACGGTTGGGCTGGAGAGAATTCCTAGGGACAGAAGCAGTCCAAGGGATGTTGTTGTCAAGGGAGTCTAGACTTCTCATCAACATTAACTTAGAGCCATTGGCCTATCCTTAATGTGGGGGACCAAGCAGTTTCAGGGATGACCAACGAGGGTTCAGTTGGACAATGCCATAGCTGTAGCTTACATCAATCATCAGGGCAGATTCAGGAGCCACACTGCTGTTCATGTAGCTGACCCAATCCTAGCTTGGGCTGAAAGGCATGTTCCAGCCTTGTTCAAAGTCCACATTTCTGGAGTAGACAATAAGCAGGCAAACTTTCTCAGTGTCTGGACAAAGGAGAATGGTCTATTCACCCCTTAGTGTTCCAGGTCATTATTGGGGTACGCCAGATGTGAATCTGTTGGCATCCCACTTCATCAACAAGGTGGGCCAGGTTCATAGCCAGGATCAGGGACCCAAGGCCCTTCTCAGTTGATGTACTGGTAACCCCATGGCATCAGATGCAGGTTACAGTTTCTTCCTCGGCTGCTTCACAGGATCAAGATAAAGGGCTTCCCTATTATCCTGGTTGCACCAAACTAGGGATGTGCCCTGTTCTTTCTCCAGCATAGGCTGGATAAGCACTTGACCTTGAAGGTTTAAGTTTCGGCCTTGGCCATTCTTTGGAGAGTGGTTCAGATAGTGCATTATATTCATTCATTAGTGTCACTATGGGATCCCTACCTGGTCCTGTTGACTATACAGAAACTTTCCTTGGCAGACTGTAAAGTGTTTTTTTATTTATTTTTTTTCATGACTGTCACTTCCACGAGATAGTTGATGGCCTTATCTTGTATATAAACCTTCCTTGTTCTTCAAAAGGATAAAGTGGTCTTGAGGCCTCAGCCCTCCTTTCTCCCCAAGATGGGTTCTCACCTCCACCTTAATCAGGACATCATCCTGCCATCTCGTTATCTGCATCCAAAGCATCCCAAAAAGATTTCTCTACACTGCTTAGATGTGGTACATGCAGTTCTCCTTTACCTCTCTGCCACTGCTCCTATCCGAAGCTGATTCTATTTTGTACAAGCGGTATCCTGCATCTCATTTCACTATTTCTACGTGGATTAGATGGGATATCACTTAATGCTTATACCTTGAAGGATACAAATCTTTAGTTTTCTCACTTGTTCAGTTGGTACCACTTGGCCTTTTCAGCACCCAATGTCTAATTGTCAGAATTGCAAGGCCGCCACCTTGTTCTCTGTTCACATGTTTTAAGTTTTACCAGGTGGATGTTTAGGCCTCTACTAACATCAGCTTTGGCTGTAAGATGCTTCAAGCCCCTCTTTGAGTTTGGGAATCTGATCTCCTCCTCATCTTGGACCTGTTGGCATTGTTTGGTGTGTGCCCATTCTTCAGATGTATTGCCTGGAGAAGTCCCATGGTCTTGATTAATGGAAGCATCTGACCTCTTTTTTTTGCAATTTAAGAGCCAAGGATTTTTGAATTGCCTATTAAATCCTTTCATGCTGTGAAGTACACGACCAACCCCCCCTTTCCTGTCCTAGCATATCAACTTCTCACTTGCTGATAAACTTGAGGATTGCTTGGATAAGGATGTAATTATATTGGCTGTCCTTTCAGCTATGTTTTCCAGTGTGCTCACCGAAAGTTGACTACATACAACCCATGGTCTTGATTAATGGAAACCTATGTCCAGTACTATATTGCAAGAAAAGGATTTTTGCAAGCAAGTTAAAAATCCTTATTTAACGGTTTTTGTGAATTTTTACATTAAAGGAAGTTCCACTTTTTTGCTTTATTTGCCATTTATATATATATTGCTTTTATTTAAATGTGTATTCTTTGTTCTGTAGAATGGTCTTTTGAGTTTGGGTTTGTTATGCCCAATTCAGTGAACACATGGCAGTCCATGATAGAAGCTGCTCCAGAGTCTCAGATGATGCCTGCTAATGTTTTAACGTAAGTATAGTAATGGGGTATTTTGGAGTATTATTTTTAACCTATAGAGTTGATTTGCCATTGGGTAGCAGATCAAGTACTGTAGATAAAATTAGGAAAATTAGGGAATGGTGTGGTTAATTTTGTCCAAGCAGGGAATAATTCTGTGTACTAATGGCTATAGGGGAGCACACTAACCTTATTGCAGGTTTTTGTCAGCAAAAGCGGAGCTCCAGTCATTTTTGTACCCAGAAGGTTTTTTACCCTAATGCATAGAATTAGAACCACTTTTATGATACCCTAATCACAGGACACAAACGCAGTGTGTTTTCCTGCTCCGGATTGCATGGTACAGATTGCTGTGCTTTCTTTTTAAAGTAGTGCATGCACAACTTTTGTTTTTGTCTGGTGCGATATGAGCCCGTTCAAATTGATGGGCTGAAATTGCACTGCATGTGGATTGCATGTGAATTGCACGGGAACATGCTGTGTTGTGAACTGGCATCTTTGTTTTTTGACTCATGAACATACATTGAGGGCCCATTGAAAATAAATGGGCAATGCACCACTGCATGCGTGAACATGCACCCACAAGTCTGATATAGTAATAGTCACAGTCATTTTACCACACATTCAGACAATGGTAAAGTGACTGTGCTCTACTCTGTCTGTTTTTACATCTGCATTTATAAATGATAATTTTGCTTTATTTCTTTCTGTTGTAAGTTTCAACTTAAAATTGGAGTATAGTGTATAACCCTAAATGTAAGGTTGCCCAGTGTGGTATCTCTCATATGTTTTATATGTGTGAGGGCACCTTAACCACCTGCCCTCCAGAGGATGTACCCCCCTTTCTGAACCGCGATACAGTGTTGCATTACTTTAACTGACGCTGCACCCAAATTAAATTTTACGTCCTTTTTTATTTGTGCTATAAAAAAAAAGGAAAAAACGACCATTTTGAGCAAAAAAAAACTATATTTTTGACTTGCTATTAAACATGTCCAGTAAAAAAATTAAAACAGATGTCGTTATAAATTTCGTCCAAAATGTATTCTGCTACATGTCTGCTTAGAAAAAAAATAATAATACATGTAAATTAATTGGCTTATGTGATATATATATACATACATACATACATACATACATACATACATACAAACATACATATGGCGGTGTATATACTGGAATTTTTTTTTTTTTAACTTGCTAGTAACGGCGGCTATCAGCGACTTAAAGCGGGACTGTGGTGGGCATTCTTACACTGGGGGTAACTGACTTGGTGTTACTGACATCCCCAGTGACAACAATACAGTGATCCGTTCAAATAAAAAGCACTGACACTGTACTAATGGCACTGGGCAGGAAGGGGTTAACATCTGGGGCAATCAAAGTGTTAACTGTGTGCTGTTTCACATTATGGGCTGTGTGTGTGCTTCATTGTAAGCACACTGCTTTGTATGGATTTGCTATGCAGAGCCATACAAATCAGCGTGCAGGAGCTGTCAGGGGAAAGTACTGTATTGTTTACATACAGTTCTCTCGTCCCCCGTCGGTAATACTCGGCAATCAATGGCCGGGACCTGGTGATTGACAGCCAAGGTCATGAATGGCCCCTATCAGGTACTGCAAAAGTGTGTGTGTGTGTGTGTGTGTGTGTGTGTGTGTGTGTGTGTGTGTGTGTGTGTGTGTGTGTGTGTGTGTGTGTGTGTGTGTGTGTGTGTGTGTGTGTGTGTGTGTGTGTGTGTGTGTGTGTGTGTGTGTGTGTGTTGCCCTGTAGCAGTATTTCTGCTATGGGGCGGATGGAAAGAGGTTAAAAGTCCCAGTTATTGTTGGCTTTTTACTGTGTATAGCTTATAAATCTATTGTATATTACATGGGGCATTTTAAAGGGTAACTCCACTCTTGTGGGAAAGAATTATAGCAAATAAAAAAAAAAAATAGCATATACAATTGCTACACAAGCCATATTGTAATTTAATGTTATTAAAAATGAAATTTCCTTCCCAATCTGCAGCTGTTGTAATTTCTGGTAAAATTCAATGCAATTTGGCAACCTGGAGGTGTTCTGTACACAGTGGTTGTACAGAAATTCCCCAGAAATTTCACTTCCTGCTTGTGTGATTGGCTCACTGATTTTCCCAGCAGTCTGCACTAAGAGGCAAGTAAAAATTTTGGCATTTTTTGCAATAGGATTTATCTTTTTGGTGAGCTACTCTTTAGGGGTTAATTACTTGTAAAGGGATACAGACACTACATCTTTCCTCAAAACGCAGAACACGTTTAGAAATCAGTGTTCCAAGGACACTATGGAACATACAACTTTTTCTTGTATGAAAATTGGTAGGAATCCGCTACAAACTTTGTTAAAATCCTTGCCATGTACATTGATCATGCAGCGGGGATTGTTTTTTTCTCTCAACAGAAGTGGAGTTACTCTTTAAGTCTGATTTCTTTTTTTTTAATCTAACAGTATTTTTGCTTTATGGCTTTATTTTTCAGTGGCAACGTCATCATAGAAACCAAGTTCTACGATGCTGATCTTCTTGTCAGTACATCGAGGGTCAGGCTGTTTTATGTTTGAATCTTCTACATTTTTTTTTTTTTACCCCACCTTCCTTTTTCATGTATATTCTTTTATGGAAAAAACTGTTTGTTGGGTGCTATGGACTTGATTGCATTCTGGGTCTACATCCATTTCCAAATATACTTAAGGAGACAGCCACTGCAACATGCTGCAGATTACGCTGTTATCGAGCACTAGGCAATCAACTTTCAAAGTTAATCATTTTTCCAACGTTCTTCTACTTCCAGAAGCTTCTCAGTGCTGATTATTGAAACTTGTTTAAGTTATTTCAAAACTTCTCTTTGACAAGTGAAATATTAGTCCATTTCTATGGAAGTTTGCAACTTCAGTTATACATCTGAGAAGATTGTTTGTTTGTTTTTTGTCAGCCATGACCTGATCTGTTTAACATATATGTTTTAACACATATAAATGTCTGTAACTGGAGAAGCATATTACAGTAACCACATTAACTTGCATTTATTGATTTTGCCACATACCTGATTTTTGTTTCCCAGATATAATCATAATTTTATTGTAGTTTGTCACGTAGTTAACAATGACCAAATACAAGCTTTATAGGTACATCATTGTTCTTCAGTAAGCCTAGTTTACAAAGGATAGAGCTTTAACAGACTATTAGCAGGCTCTGGCACTTTCATTTAGGTGAGTGTTCAACACTTCCAGTTCACACAACTTCTGCCTACTCCCTCAATGCTTAGAGAGCTGTTATCTATAAGCCACTCTACGCTGTTTCCAATAGCTGAACTGAACGGCTGGGAAGAAATCAAAGAGTATGGGGCGCTGGAATGGTAGGTTAAGTAAATATGATGTTTTGTCTCTGCACTGGTAATACAGGTTCACTTTAAGGGCTTCATGAAAGCTTTTTGAAGCCTGCTGAAAGTCTCTCTTCAAATAAGCATCTGAATCCTATGTGAATAAAGTCTTACAGGAGCTTGTATTAATTCTAACAATGTTCATACTCTTACAACTGGAAACACTGATATTGCCAGAAATAACTGTGAGTAAAAGCAACCTCTTACAAGATCTTCTCCATCTTATTCTTTAGTTGGCACTAGATCTCCCAAATCTAGTCCCACCAAAAATGGAATTAACCATGCTAATTATTTCACTTGTGCTTCTGCTGAGAGATCTAGATGCAGTGCATTGAAGAATGGCAATGAAAACAAACCGTGCGTTCTGTTTTTAAGTTACTTTAGTATTATAGGTTAAAAATACCGTTTCATTCTTTAGTCCTTTTTATATAGTACTGTACTGCTTTCTGTGGGTTCAGTACTCATAACAGGAAATAAATATTTAAAGTTAATCTAATGAGGTAGCAAATAAATGTAATGGTAAAACTGAAAAACAGACCGTTCCATTGTCTTTGTTAAATAGAGGCATAAAGATGTGTTATGAATGCATTATATGGTTAACAGTTATAACACCAAAGCACTTTTGATTTTCACCAAGTTTCTTGTACGTTAAAGCTAAAATGGGCAGCAGCTGCCCACCCAGGCATGGAAAAGACGTTTTTGATGTAGAACTATTTTCCATTTTCTGGAGGCGTCCTTGCCTGTGTTTGCTGGAGCATATTAGTCAGTTACAATACCGTGGAGCACTAATTTATGGTTTCTGGAAACACGACAACACCCAGTCTATCTAGAGGTGTTTCTTTTAAGTGTTGTGAATCTATATATTCATAAAGCATTTATGTATCTGTAAAATGTTTAAAGTTCTAAAACTGTATTTACAGAAATCTGCCACCATACTAGATTACCATGGATTTAGGCTGTATGGATGTAGTGTCCTCTACATTTACTATACAAGTGCAGTAAAATAGTTTATCTGTATAATACTGCTAGTGAGCTTTATAATGTCCTTAAAATCAAAAGTTGTTCAAATTAATTTTCAATACTCTTTTAACCTCCCTGGCGGTCTGATTATGTCAATATTTTTGAATGTCAAAGCGGTACATTGTTTTGCATGGAAATTTCAGTGTCTGGTGACGAATTTCCACACGAATCACTATTATTCAATTCTGCAAGTGATTCTATTTCACTATCTCTGTTTTCTAGCTGGTCTAAAACCGCTTTTGACCTAAAGGGATGCTTTTTGGATGCCATGGACATTCTCAAGTTTCCAGGCAGAAAGAACAGTAAAAGTGCAGGCAGGGCACTGGACAAAGCACTAGGGACAAAACTGAGGTGAAATGGTTTGATACAGTAATGTAATCCTAACAGATTACAATGTATTGTGTGTATGTCATGTTTTTACGTTTTTGACTCTCCTGCTGGTTCTGCCCTCCTGCATCGCGGCGCTCACAGGGAAGAGAAGAGATGCCAAAGGACACAGTGGGAGGACATCAGGGGATCGCAGGGACAAGGTAAATTGCAACACACACACACCAGAATGTGGCATATGGTAATTTGGTAGCATGCAAACTATCTTATTATGACTTAAAGCAGAACTAAAATATCTTGAAATTGCAAGTCAAAATTGTGCAATATCTGCAAATCTGCGTTACCCCTTGGAAGTTTCCATATGTCATCTTGCCTAGTCTGTTCTTTAGCATTAGTGGGAGGTGATGATCATTTTTGGTAAGTGGTATATCATTCCCTCACAGGAAGGTCTCTGCCGGAACTATTTGTTTTATTTATTCTTACCCGAAACTGGGTGTTTACTAGGGCAGTTCTATTCCCTTATACTAAGAGGGAGGTGTGGCTAGCCTAAATGCTTCCCTGCTCAGGCAGCAGGGCTGGGGCCAAGAGGTCATAGAGAATCCCAGGTCCTGTACTATGCCATCACAGCAACTGGGATATCTTCTGGAAGCATCACAAAAAATACAGTTTTGCATGCATGCATGCACTATTTTTTAACTTGCTATTTCAGAGTTTTCCAAAAAAAAGAAAAAAAACATCTTTAAATTATCTCTACATTGATCCTACTTTTATGTGTCATTAGTACTTGGCAACAGAAGAAAGTTTAGAATACACCACGTGGGTGCATTTTTTTTTATGCCAACAAGATACTGCTGTTCTACCACTCTTGTGATTGGTGTCAGTCCACTTTCTTTAGAAATTTGTCAAGGTGGTTGTTTTTGACGATGACAACTGCAAGAGGCAAATCTTTGTACTGAATGTTACATACTCAATGCATTATCCAGAATGTTAAAAATTTTAATTTTCTTTTGAAAGTTAATTGGGCACTAATTCTCTGACTTATATAGACATTGATTTGTTTTCAAATGGAAAGTTAGTGGTCATGTGGACTGCTTTAAATTTTGTTTCGGTTTGTTTCACTAAAACCTGATTTTTAACTGATCAATTTGGATGAAAACAGAGGCCTTTTGCCAAACATTGACAAAACGTGGTTTCATCTACAGTAAAGCATAAGGGATATGACACCATGGTTATAGTGTTATTTCTTGGAGTCAATGGGATTCATATATAGAAGCTGAAGGAAAGATGCTTAGCTGTAAAAAAAAAAAAAAAAAAAAAACAGTTTTTCTACTATCTTCTTTTTTTTTTTTTTCTAAATAAATGAACCCCAACATCTAATGCTTTGTGTGTGCTCTCTACCCTTGGAAGTGGAGAAGTAGGCGTGTTTTCAGCGAGTTCTGTCTGATGAAAGTCTGAATTGTAAGGTAGCCAAACCTGTAATTTACAATTTTATGACCGCAAATATTAAGGTATTCAAAGCACTTAATTCCTAAAGCAGAAGGAGCTTATTTTAAATAAGCAAATGGAATACAATGAATAGAATCCAATAACAAAGGGTGATCTATTATGCAAGCCAGTAGAGACCCAGGTCTCTGGGGCCATTCTAGAGGAAAACTAAACCTGTGTGCACTCTGAGATTATAATTTTTATCCTAACTACAGTTACATTTAGAACCTGTCCTGGAGACTAAAAGTGGCAAAGAGCCAAATTTCCAAGAAAATGAGTCTTAATCAGACCATGTACACACACAAAACATACGAGCACCAACCATCAGAACACCAAATTGGATTTCAAAATTGGTTTACATATACCTAGTTTTCCCTTCTTATTAATCAAATGAAAGCTGGTGGCAACATATCTTCATGTCTATTTGTCTGTCATGGAATGCCCATGTTAAAGATCAAGTCCAGCCATTTTTTTCTTTTTTGGATAGACTTTGGAAGGCTCAATATTTCTGTTTTTGTTCTTATTTCTGTCTGAGGCCCTATAGAGGAAATGTAAGAAGTTCTATCCCCTTCTCATTACTAAAAAGGTGTCTTTTAAATTGTACAGTACAGGCTTGATGTTCGTAGACCCTTCGTTATAGGCTGGTACATTTGTCTACCATCTGGGCATCCAGCTATAACCATACTCCACTCTGAAAATCCTTATTTTTTTCCTTAGGAGATGGACCTCTTCTCCCTTGTGGAAAAATCACTCTTAGCTTAAAGTGGAAGATGAGGGTAACTGTAACTAATCTTTAAAATTATTCCTCCCCACTGCTACCTATTCAGCAGCCAAAGCTGCTGAATCACGTGACTAGACCAGATTTAAAAAGTTAACTACACAGATCTTTTTTTTTTTTTTTTGTATTATTATTATATACAGGGTGTATAGAATAGATAGAAGGGTAATGTTTTTAAAAGAGTGTTTGTTAGAATTGGCCTTTTACTAACATTTTAACTAGGTTATTCTTTCACTCTGATTCTATGATCAAATTTTTTACAAACTCCTCACTGTCTAATACAAAAATAGAAGCAGTGTAACCTTGGTAAAACCTTGGGAGCTGTATCTGGACCCCATGCTGTGGTGATGGCCTGATGGCCTGTCATGTTGCTTCAAGCACTGGATCCTGCTTGGGTGCTCACCTTGGCACTTAGTGCAGTGTGTGTAGTTAACTGCAGGGTGCTATACAGGTCCAGGACTGTGGCTTTTCCCTATGGAACCCAGAACCTAATGACCCCTCCAGGGACATGCCCATCATGACAGGTAAAGCTTGACCTTATATAAGGGCCAGCATCATGGATAGGTAAGACA